CCCTCTTTTTGTCTACCCTTTCCAATCAGTCACCATAACATGTTATGTTGCATTATTCTACTCACGTGATGGATTATGTCTCTGTTTTGCGTCAAATCCATTTACGCGAACATTGCTATTGCAATTACATCATGGCAATGGCTAGCACCTCTGAACTTTCTTTTCTCCTTTTAACGAGTAGACGAAAGTTTCCTAAAGTCTCATCATGAAGCAGCAACTCATGTATGCAACAGCATGAAACTCTAGTGGTCGGAAAATAGAGTAAAATGGCTTTTCCAGAAGGGAGATGCGCAGGCTTTCAAGATAGAGATGCGCTGCTCCATCTGGAAAAGGGCTTTTCCAGAAGGGAGTCAATAAATCAATAGAAAAAATCCCTTCCCGGCTAGCGGGACTCTACGTCCGGGTTTTATTCCATCTCAAACTCGGATTCTATTTGTAAGAATTTTACTATATTCCAATGCAATCATTTCAGTGTTTATAATTATATTACATGTCCATTTAAAAAAAAAATAAAGTGAGTCCCATAAAATCAATTATCTTGTTATTTAATAAATAAAATGACCAAACTTCACTATTTCACCAGAACTTTTTGTTTCTATGTCAATCCACCAGCATTTTTTATTCTCTGCCAATTTATCCGAAAATCCATACCTTCATGTGCGTGGCCTGCTTCAACTCTCAAATGATGGGCTGTAATATAATGACTCTTGGAGACACCGCAATGATGAGCCATACGAAGCTCTTCACTCTCGTCACCCGTGATCTTTCACTCATCCGGGGACATTTGACAGAGGCTTGAAGATCCATAATTGGATTATGCCTGATGTTTGAGGCATGCAATAACACAAGTTGGTATCTGTTATAGGGAAGTACTTCAACCAAGCAAAATGTATGATTAAAGGCTCTGGACACAAGATGATGACATTTTCACAGTACCAAAACATTATAGCGAAATGAACCCAGAATAAATGAGCCGCACCATTCACATAAAGCTAAAGAAGAACCATAAATATGGCAATGCAAGTCGCTCGTCTTTCACAAAACCTTTCTTAATATAAATATTGACGGTCAGGAGAATGGGTGCTGTAGTTTCACGTTTTTTATCCTGCAGCATAAATGATAGAGCAGTAGCTGCCAAAATCAAGAACAGAAATAGCACTACACTGCACATTTTCCGAACATAATGGTGGTGTTAAATCCAACTATTAACCAAAGGTCCCCTGGTTATTCCATATGACTAGTAGCACCTACAAACATAGTGTAATGAAAGACGAATATGCAGGCAAATATCCTTGACTAGCCAGTGAGATCACTTTAATTTCATGGCTTCAAAGTGGTATTTGTCCAAGTCAGAATCAAGTGATTCTGCAGTTAGCTTCTCGACACGGCGTCTCACCTGCCCCTGTCCCCTGGCAAATTCTTGAACACTGCCGCCGCCCCTGCTGCCAGCACCACCACCATGGCCCCTTCCCCTTGCACCAATTCTTTCGTGAACACTGTCCAGTGAAAAACAAAAATTAGCTCGTTGAGATGAGAAGTATTGTACCACTAGCAATAATAACAGATGCAAAACAAAAGATTAAAAACAGTAAACTCTCCTTCACAATTCAAAGATCACATACATCAATATACCAATGAAAAGCACCAAGATGCAAGTTCCCCTGAAAACTAAGGCCACCCCCACACAGAGAACTGGTAAATAAATAAAATGGAATCTTCCTAAACCCCGTAATTTTCATTTATTCCCTTTTTTTCTACCCTTTTCAATAAGTGAGTATGAGATGTTATGTTGCATTATTCCTACTCATGTGATGGATTATGTCTCTGTTTTACATCAAATGCATGCATGCAAATATTGCTAATGCAATTATATATGCAACTGGTTGGCACTTCTGAACTTTTCTTTTTTCTTCCCTAGTTGAAGAAAGCAAATTTAATGAGTTAATCAAAATTTCCTAATGTTTCTTCATGAAGCAGCAACTTGAACACCTCATATATGCAACAGCATGGAACTCTAGTGATCGAAAAAATAGACAGGGTACATGTTTAAGTAGCACTTGAGTCAATTAGGCCTGTCTACACAGAGCATCCACTTTGAGGTTATTCAATGATATCATACCATCATCCAGGAAAAGGCCATAAACGGGATGACAGAGCTCGTAATAGATAGGATTTCCTATCTATAGCGCAGGCCTTCAAGATAGAGATGCACCACTGCATCTGGAAAAGGGCTTTTCCAGAAGGGAGTCAATAAATCAATAGAAGAAATCCCTTCCTGGCTAGCAGGACTCTACGCCTGGGTCTTATTCCATCTCAAACTCGGATTAGGAAGCCTATTTGTAAGAATTTTAATATATTCATTCTTTTCATCTTTTTTTTATGTGGTGAACTTAGCATCAAACAGACACGCATACACCAAGGACAGACTCAATGTCTCTGCGTATCTGATCAACAATTTATTTTCAATTGCCTTTTCCACCTCGATAGAAAAGACACAGTGTGTGCATGAACGTATTGGGTCGAAGTTTGATATCCTAACCTTAAGAGTTTTCCATAGTTTCTCCACATGCATGTTGTTTGTTAATTTATCATGCTTTATATTGTTTGTTAATAAATATGTAAAAACAACTGGAACAAACACCAGTAAAATTTTACCTTCTAACAGCACCATTTGGGTTTGCCACATTGGTAATTGCAGTTACAGGCACAGAAACAGGGACAGGAGTTATCACATTAATTCCTACAAGTTCAATTTTCAGTGGCTTCCCATCAAGCTGAACATTATTATATCTCCTGATAGCTGCTAGAGCATCTGTTTGGTGTGCAAATACAACTTCAGCTGTTCCCTTAAAGAAACAATTTTTTTCAGCCGCAGGGAGACGCATTAAAATTTCTTGAAAAAGAATCAAACATCAGTTTAAATATATACCTTTGATCTCCCACTCATATCATAATGAAGCGAGTACCTCAACAATTCACCAACCTCGGAGAAAAGCACCTGTATTGGGACTACATTATGTTAAATGATGTATCTAAAGTCCTTAAACTCTTGCATCTTGATGATTTAAACAGACTCACCATAATGTACAGCACATGACAATTATAGTGCCTACTGCCCTGTTTTCGAAAGAACTTCAGTAATGATCATGACAAGACTCTTCAAGTCCTCTCAAAAGCTACTATCAAGCAGTGCGATGCTAAAGAGCAATCTACACTGCATTAATAAGCTCCTCCGAAAAAACAAATGCTCACAGTGGATACTCTACCATCACAGCTTGCACCACTGCACACATACACTCCCTGACTCCCTAGCCCCAAACCCTAACATCATCATTATTCACTACCGTTGTTGCCAACCCCCGAACATAACTACAGAACCCACTGCCATTCACATTCGGCACAAGGACCTTGTCCTTATTAAGGGATTGAAATTTTAAAAAATTCTTACACCCCTGGAAAAACCCTAATTGCTTATATAATTCATAAAAATAGTAAAACGCATCAAAACATCAAAATTATAAAATCCCAAAAAAATAAACATAATTAACAACACTTAAAAAAAGCTTCAATTAAAAACTTAAGCAGCATAGTGCTAACTTAAGTACCTTGATATCCTCATTAGAAACACCAGAATCCAAGTTTGATATATATAACTTAGCCTCTCCATTAGACCCTTCACTTGCTGCTAACATTATTGGCTCCCGCTGCACTTGCATTACCTGCACTGGTCTTGCTGAGTAGGGCTTGGGTCGGGTCAGGTCACGACGGAAGACCAAACGATCGGGGCCCGGACCCAAAACTGAACCGGAGCCTGCTTCTCTGCCATTGACTCTGAAATTACTGTCACGCCCTCCATTTTCTTTGCCCTTGCGGATGAGGTCGTCAAGTGACATATCCAGTAAGCTGGACATTTTCGGATTTTTATCCGCTTTCTTCTTGATATGGAGTTCAGGGTTTTGTAGATTGAAACAGAGTGAAAGGGGAGAGTGAGGTTTTAAGTCGATATATATGCATCGGGTTTTTGGAGGGCCCGAAATGCTTCGTTAAACGTGCCTAGCTGAGTGCCACGTGTATTTTGTTTGAGATGCACTTGGGTCCCACTTCGCCCGGATAGGGCTAGTGGATTTGGTCCTACATCATACTGGAACCCCTGGTGACCAGTGGACTCGTTTTTTGCGGCCTGGGAAAATTGGATTTGGTCACCTATGATAGGCTCCTTATCGAAGTGTTTTTTTTTTTTTTTCTATTTTGTTTATTTTAAATTGTTAATTACATCGGATTATAGTTTTGGAAAAATAGAGTAAAAGAAGTGCATTTATGGTGAGTTGGAGAAACTTAGAAAAGCAAGATGCTTTGGAGATTTTGCAAGTTATTTACTAGGAAGAAAATTTAATCTGGTGCTTTAATTCACGATGCTTCAAATAAGTGCATGCATCTCATTCCATATTTGTGTGAGTATAGTCCACCCGCTGTGTTTAATTGATTAAGAAGCTACAAGTTACACACACAAAAATGGTAAAATTATCTGATATCACAAGGCAAAGCAAATTGCACAAAGACATCAAGAAAATGGATCTCACACTGTATATTTATATGTATTTATGTATATGGATACATACAAAAAGGGCTCAAGACCGCAATTATCAAGCATGAAGCAAAAGGGCAAGCAAGGAGACTGTGTGCACGATGAATCACTTCATCGTATCATGGAGCCGAATTGCAGAGACAAAGAACAATGACCATCATGGATTTGATTCCATGAATGAATGGCAATGGGAAGACAAGAAAACCACATGTTATATCCAAGAACAAAGAGAGCTAACCTCTGCTACGATACCGTGAGAGCACAAATTAAACACCCTTATGCTCGTACAGTAGTATATAAAAAGAGTTTAAAGGCCTCGAAGAATGGAAACCCATAACAAAGCAGTAGTAGACCGATGAACAGTACATTTATTTGAACAATTGAAAATGATAATGCAGAGCAACGATATCATCAGAGAAACAAATGCAACTTTAATAATCTTTTAGGCCATTAACAAATAGAGAAGCAAAAGTCTCCATTTCATGCCTCTTTAAAACCAGACCAATCTCAACACCTCCTGTTATTCCATCTCTGCTCTCTAACAGAGAAATAGAGCTTGTCCTGTCTATGGATGCAATCTCCACCTTCTTGGGCTCTCCCCAACCGAAATCTGACCTGTAAAAATCAAAACGGGTCGATCCAGCAACCCCAAGGCAATGTGTTCCTGGTTCTAAAGAAGCCAGTTCAACTAGCCTCTCCTTAGCTCCTTCAAAAAATCCCCTGATCTCCATTCCTTTTATAATTTCACTAATCCTCTCTGCTATCATGGCAACCCCATTTTCTTCCATAAAAATTCTTGCTTCAGCGGCAACGTGTTGGCCAGCAATACAGTTACCAAAATAATTGTTTGGAATTGGAGGGTCCAGTGATCGGCTCCTCAAATCCACAGTGAACAAGAAGTAAACGTTTTTACTACCATCCCCTATTGCTTTCATCATGGAAGCTAAAGTGTAAGCACATGTGAGCACAAAGGTCGACAAATGCATTTGTTTCGAATGGTTTTGCTCTTCTTTGAGGATGCTATCGAACTGGGACTGCACTTTTTTCCTTAGGAACTTTATGTCTTCACGAGACAACCCAAAGGTGGCTCGAACTAAGTCGGATGGCCCTGACTCTCCCATGTTTGGCAACACCTTCAAACTTCTACGATCGGACTTCAGAACCAACTCGTTCATTACTGACCAGTAATTCAAGTGTGCCGTCTCAATCCCAGCTACATCTTTGATAATCGACCTATCAAAAGAAGGGATTAACTCATCAGGCAACAAGGGTGGTTGATCATTTTTTTCAAGTTCTTGGTGTTTGCATATATAAACCCAAGCCTTAATGAACATGGCCGTAGTTTTCCCATCAAGAACTGCATGGTGGGTAACGAAGCTTATGCTAAACCCTTTATGAGGAAACAATGTTATTTGCAAAGCAAGAACTGAAGCCTTGGTGTCAGATACACACAACTCGGGTATGTAAGGACGTGACTCAACAGCTTCACGAATTTCATTGCTCGAGAGACGACCGAATTCTGCACTGGACTCGGCAATGGTTAGTGAAACTGCATCATTTGGAGTGCATAAGATTATGGGTTTAGGAGAATCTTGAGGCCATATGAGATTGCCAGCTAGTGGAAGAAAATTGAGGAGCGCATGAGAGAGTGATTTTTTGAGTTTTGGAAGGATAAATGATTTGAAAACAGCAGGACTTGACTCGGCGAGTTCATAAAAGAAAATGCTCTCGGCTGGAGGAAATTTGAGCCAAATGATATCCATGAAAGTGAGGGGGAGAGTGAACTCAGTGTTTGAAGGATTAGTTGAGCTGCAGGCTGGGGCAACTTGGCAGAGCTCCAGAATTTTCACAGAATCGGGTGGTGCCATGGATGAGAAGCTAGAAGTCGTAATTTTTTTTTTATTTGAGCTTCCCCGGGTGCTTCTCTTCTGTTCGCACAACCTCTTTATATAGTTGAATTAAAGGTGCATGTGTAGATTTTTCAAAAAGTAGGCAGGTCAATATAATTAACACCAACTAATTTGACCGTTAAGCCCCGAATTTTTTTTAATAAAACAAGCAAATTATTGTTTCTTTTCTAGCAAACCACTCACTTCAACAATATTTTGTTTTTTTTAATAAAGATTTGATTTTTTAATATTGAATTTATTAAAAAAATCTACTAAAATTAGTAATATTTATATTTTTTTTTTACATTAAAAAAATTGATCCGATGGAGACCAATTATCTAGTTAATTTGTAAAAAAATTTAATGCACACGTATACAAACAAGTGTAGATTTTTTTTAACAAAAAATACAGTTATACATGGCTGGTAAGAAATGGGGGACCAAGCAATAATGAAGTTGCTTTGATATATAGCTCAACGCAAGCTTGTATTTAAAGTTAATTGGTCAGCAATCTTATTCCCAAGCCCTTAAGGTTGGTTGTGCTATTAGAGTGACAGCAGTCTGGGCAGCTACTCCTTGAACGTCGAGGAGTCAAGTGATGGACTTTTTTTTTTATTATTATTATTATTATCTACCGGCGCAATATTTAGTAGATTTATAGATTTAATTTGATCAGGCAAATTAAGATTTGCTACCGTGATGTGATAGCAAAGATATTAACCCTTGCGTGGTTGAATACTTGAGATTTAAAAAAAAAAAATTGACTAGATAATTAATCGACCAACCAGATCAATTTACTTAAATTAAATCAATTTCAGAATAATTTTAAAAAACTCTATCAGTAATTGGGTTCCCAATCAGACTGTCAGGCCATGTGTATATAATAACTGTGTAACAATACCTGTTGACATATTGGAGAATTTAGGTGACTGTTTTGTTGTTGATGGGCCTCGATTCGGCCCCTTTTGGACTCTTGCAACGAGTAAAAAATAAAATAAAATAAAAACTTGCAGAAACGAATGAAATAACGTAATTATAAAATTAAATACTTCCTGATTCGATTACTTCTTTCGTCTAGTTTTACTCGTAACTGTGTAACGAAGCTACCGTAGATTACAGTCCCTTCAAATCCTTGTATTGTCGCATTAATCCATGATGTAAAAATTAAAAACATCTACATAATTATAAAAAAAACATCATATTTTAATTAATAAAATACTTGATTAGGAAACAATAAGGGTGTAGCTGATACAAAATCAAAATATTATCGCTAAACTAAACAGCATTAATATTTTTTGCTTGACACGTGTATATATTACCCATTTAATTTTTGATTTTTTTACTAAATCGCACCCGTTTAGAACAAATGGTAAGAGTGGGGGTTATTAATACTGTAATGCTTGTGGGTAGCCCAAATTCACGGTATAAACTTGGTAAGACCAACTTTTGCTCAAAAATCTTCTCTTAAAGCTCTCAACACCTACACATGCCTGTGCACACTCGCAGATCTGTTGATGTTTGATCACGCATTTTTGCGCTATTGCTTTAATTTTGGCCATAGTTAAGCAACTAACCTTTAAAATTGCATTTACAATATCGTTGTCAAGCAATTAATCTTTTAATTTAAAGAGGCCGTTAAGCTTTAGGGCTAAAGAAACCAGGAGAAAAAAGGATTTAACAAAATAGCAAGTCAAAACTCATGAATAAAAGAATTAATAAGACGGTATACCTAGCATGTTAAGTTTAAATGTACATGAGTTTGGTACCATATTACATTCTATACTCTTGAGCCCATAACTATAATTATTTTAAATCCAAACAGCTGACGTGAAAAATTAAAATCATTATTTCCCAACATTATATAGATGTCATAACTATAATTATTTTAAATCCAAACAGTTGACGTTAAAAATTAAAATCATTATTTCCCAACATCATATAGATGTAAAACGTTATTTAAAGATTGTTTATATATCAATTAACATTAAAGATAAATTATAAGGTTGATTTCATCATTTGGTGTGTAAAATAATGAAGGATCGTTCTCTCTATAGATATATGATACTTTTATTAATATTGATATAGCGTAAAAAGATACTTGTATTGATATTAATGTTTATTTAAGAGTTTTTATCTTTAATTTGACATGAATTAAAAAAACACCAGTGACACGTAAAATAAAATAAAATAAAGTAGGTTATAAATACTCCAGGAGCAACTTTGCGTTCATTTATCATATATTAAAAAAAAAAGTTTTATTCTTGAAATTTAATACTTGTTTGTTATAATTCTTTACAGTAAAAATCATCATTTTTTTCAAAAAAATTCATAAATTCACTAACAATAACTATTTTGCAGGGAATTAATTGATGTGAACATGTGACCATCCCTCATCAGAGCAATACAAAACACAAGTTCACATTATACTGGATTCAAGAGGATAATCAAGATGCTTGGGATTAAACATATAGAAAGGGAGACACCCCACCTTTCCACTATAAATGCGTGGTGGCTCCTTCGTTAGATTGCCAGCCAGAAAAGCAAGGTGCGAGTAGAAGAACTTGCCAAAAAACAATTGAGGCTCTCATTTCAAACAAAGGAAGGCAGCAACGAAAGATAATGAAATGCTATGTAATTTTTATCATAGACCACCTCCATTTCTTATTTTTCAGACCTAATAAATTAAGCATTAATGCCATCTTTCAATCTACGTTAGCCTCCGGGCTTTAAATTTACATCTATACGATTGATTAGTTTCTAAGATTCTGGCCTCTTGCATGGTTACACCTGTCCCGGAAAGAGTTGACTTCTCAGTTATGTTCTGGAGGCTGAGACACGTGTAAAATTATACATATGATTAATGTATTTTAACCAGTAAAATTATAATTTATAATCTCACACATCTCACCAAAGTTTCATCACTGCAGGTTTCCTCTTTACAAACTTCCTGCTCACCTTTTGTTTTATTGCTATTTCTGCTTCCCAGTTAAAAAATAAAAAATATAAGTGAAATAATACAATAAAAATATAGTGAAATAACATGATGTGTACAAAAGATTTTGCCAAGACGAATATAGTGAAATAACACGATTAAAAAATATAATATTTATAGTTTGTTACTATTTAGAATAATAGCTTCTAAAAATCAAATTACTATAAAAAATATAACATTATTGGTATTGTAAAACAGATTTTGACAAGATCAAACAAATAAAACTATAAAAACACCCAACAACGAATGAGTTATTATCATTTTTAAACTACAAGTGTGGATCACCTTTTTTTTTCTCCTGTCTATTTTATATTTTTTTGTTAAATAAAAATTATTTTGAATAATAATAATCTATAAATATGGCATTTTCCATTCACAACTTTATTAAAACTGTGATATTTCATCAATTTTTTATGTTATTCCGCCATTATATATAATTTACTGTACTAGTTTTTTTAGAAAATATTTTTTTACAGGGTGTTTTCCGTACTTTACTTTCCTTTAATCCCGTCGCGACTTAATGTAAACACCACGTGTCAGCCACGCCTGATATTTTCTCTTCAAAAAAATGCACTGTACACAACGACTCAACATCATCCAGCTTGGCCTCCAACTGACACAAAAGGAAAATCAATGACAGTGGTCGTAATTTTACGACACAGTCAAGGAAATTGCCGTCACTTTAGTCAAGCCCACGCATGCACAAGGCTGCCCTCAAGTTCGTTTTCTCGATTCCCTTCTCCGTTATTTTTCCGCAACCAATCTCTCTCTCTCTATCTAAAATGGTCCCATACAGCCGTCGATTTTTATAGAGAGATAAAATCATTAAAAAAAGGTTTTGTTAGAGCGAGAAAGAGATAATATTACTAATGTAAAGACTAAATCAATGGCGTCAGATAACCCTAGCCAACCAGAGCTCGCGATTAAAGCAAGAGAAGGAGGAGAGGTCTCTTCTTCATCCAACGACGACGTATTGCCTCCCTAAAAAACTCAATCTCTTTTCTATTTTTTTTATGTATTTTTTTCCTGTTTGATTGCCGAGAAAACAATAGAAAGTAATTGAAATGAAAATGAGTTTGTTTGTTCAATCGCATTTCTCATGCTTTTTGTTTTTATTTTTCAAGTGAAATTCTCTACTCAGGGTTTCAGTTTGTTGTGCTCATTTTTGCTGCATTTGTTAGCTTGCTTGCTGGATTTTTTGCTTACCGATGTAAATTAGATGCTACTTCTGCTGGTAACAAATTAGGTTTCTGTTTGGTTGATGAGAAAACAAAGGAAAAGAAAAGAAAGTTATTGCACTGACTGATTGATCAGTTTGTTTTCCGATTCCAAGTTGCTTTCTCTGAGCCGGCAACTTGTGTTGACCGTAATTTATCTACCAGGAGAAACCTGAGATCTACTTATTAAGAAGTTCATTTTTCTAGCTTAGTGTCCCAACGATGCGTATGGATGTTTTATAGTTAGGTTTTTCAGTTTGTTATACGCAGATGTGATAGGGTTGTTCTGTACTCTTACGATTCTACCACATGGGTCTCTTACATTCAGTTCGAAATCGATTTTATGATATAGATGCACGTGGCCTTCCATTTATGCTTGCGGTAATGATTCCTCTGGCTTTAATGGTCCTTTACCACGAGAAATTTTCAATACTGACATAGTTGATACTCCCTGGGCCCTATTGTATTAACCATTTCTAGGCCTTAAGTGTTTATTTGATAGAGAGAGAGAGAGCATAAAAGCTGGGGGATCTGAATATTTCCTCTTACCACAATGACCCTGTCCATAGATCACTTTATCTTGTATGCTGTATTCTATGGTCAATGACCTTGCCAGACAGGTCCTTCTCATTCCTTTTGGAAATTGATTTTATGAAGTAGAGTCGCTCCGACTGTCATGCAGAATTATTCTCTTTGAGCTGGTATTACCTCGCTCACATACATGTGTTTGTGTAAGTGAGAGAGATTATCAAATCTGGGAGAATTGAATAATTACAAATCACTTAATTTTGGTACTGCATTTCAC